GAAAAAAACGCCCCAAAAAAAGGATAAAAATCTTCATTAAAGAGCCATAACTCAAATGAGGAGTTGACTGACAATTTCGACCGTGAGACTTATTGTAGATCTTATTTTAATTACATTTTTGCTATTTAAAGTTTTTCTTGATCTATTATAATTTTCAAGATAATAGGCAAAAATGAAAAAAATTAAATTTGTCATGCAAGACCAATAACTCCTACATGTAATGTCCAACGGTTTTGTTGTAAATAGTCAGAATGTAGATCTCAACATTTTGAACAATTTTGCCCCGGTCAGACTTCTCTATCTATAGAGATAATATTCACCATGTTTTATTTTAACCATGTAGGTTGGCAGGCATCATCATCATCAGACACATTTTTAACTAGATACCTCAATGATGAGTGCGGCCAAGTTTTATTAAATTTGGCTCAGTAGTTTCAAAGAAGAAGTTTTTGCAAAAGTTAAAAGACGACAGACGCCAAGTGAGGACAAAAGTTCATTTAGCATTTTGCACCAGGTATGCTAAAAAACTAATGAAACTGCAGCTAAATAAAATGTTTTGTGTTTTGTTTTGATTTGGTGTTGATGTCAGATATACTGTATGGTTTAATACCAGTTTCATAACAAATAAATTTTTTATATTATAAATAAGAAGATGTGGCATGAGTGACAATGAGACAACTCTCCATCTAAGTCACAATGTATAAAAAGTTTACAATTATAGGTCAAAGTACGGCCTTCAACCTTATGGTTAGCTATCATGTTCAAACCACACAAGGAGGTTTGATAAGTTAAGGAAACCGTTTTTAGTTTTCAAGAAACAAGTGTAAAACCAGTTTTGGTTACAAACTAGTTCAGAAGAATTGAATCCAGCCGGGAAGAACAATAAATGGTTTTTCACACCTACCGGAAACCAAAACCAGTTTAGAGGCAACAAATAATCAGTTGAGGAATTAAAGATACAAACTGGTAACTGTAGTGTGCAGATTTACCATAGTGAATATCAAGTCATGGTTAACCCCAAAAACCAATTGAAATAAGGACATACCATACAGTAGCAAGAGCAAATAATATTGCAGCCAAATTTAATACCTTGTTTGTGCAGTATTGCTAATGATAGGCTCCAAAATTCCATGAAAAATCACTAACGTCATCAAATCAGTTACGTAAATTTGAAAGTATTTTCAAAAGAAAACGACCATGTTGTATATTTAAGCATGTGAAATCTAATGTAAGGGATACAATTTGAGGCCAATGAAGACTTTTTACTTTTCTATCATCAATAAATTCTTATATGAAAATTATTCCTATAACATTTTGATGTACAATGTGAAAAGCTGCATGACTATGTTGCACTGAGAATACACTGCAATGTAATTTAGCACCAAAAAAGGGAAATGAGATCTTTAGCATTTAAAAAACATAGTTTTCCATTTCTAGCAATGAGCACATGGACCACAATTTTTTTCTTTTGCAATCAACAATATACTACTTCAACATTATTATATTCAAATTGCAAGTAAAAATGAACAGTCAATTTCTTTTTATATGCATTTGAATTGCCAAGAACATTTTGTATGGCTTTTTATTACCAATAATTGTTAGATTTCACAAGCATTAAATCACATTCAGCCTTTATTTAAAGGACTGCCTATAAATTAAGAAATACTTTGCAAAAAAAACCAGGTGAAAATATTTCTTTCCATTTAAATGTTATGTTATTTTTTTTGGAAAAGTATTGAAAAATTAAATTTTGCATTTTACACGAAACATGCAAATTTCAAACTGAAGGAAAAATCAAGACATCTTTTCTGTATCGTATGCCCTTAAGAAACGAAATATTCATTGCCAATGAGCATCATTTGAGTAAGACGCCATGAAAGTTTCATAATGTTTGCAAAATTTTGTCAAGAAGTCCAGTAGTAGCGGATACAAAAGTCAGATGGAAGGATGGACACCCCACAACTATATACAGTCTTCCCTCATAATATCAAATCTTTGGATAACAATAATAATTAGAAGATAAATTTCTTTTTTTATTGTAATCAAATAGACAGAAATAAAGAAGATTATGCCAAGAAAAATCACATATTATATGAAATATAATTAATCACATAAATAAAAGTAAAATATAAAAGTTGCTTTAAATATAACCTATTTGACTGGTTTCCCATTTTCTTGTTCAGAAGACCAAGGAACCAGTTCTTGATCTAGAATGTATGAAAGCAAGATAATAAAATAACGTGTCTATCGAGACAAGATGGCTAGCCATTTAATGTCTTTTATAAATAAAATGGAAATACAAAAGATATTAAGTAACATTTATGTTTTATTCTATAGTTAAGGTGAAGCAAGCATTGCTTATTGATATGCTAAGAATTTATATCAAAATGTAAAAGCTTTATATATATATTTAATCAAACTACTTATGCTTTGAAAACAATTCCATCAATTAATTTATTGATAGTGGATTAGAAAAAGTTCAAGCATAATTTCAGACAAAACTATTTGATTGCTGGACTGATTTAATTTGCAATAGGTCCAAGGACACAGTTATCGTCCTTTGGTTTTCGTTGTCTACAAATATAGTCCCTAGTGTGAACAGTGTATAACTTGCATTTTTTTTTGATACACTTTCCCAATTTATTTCTTGATATTTTATGCATGAAATATTAAGTAAGGGGATGAAATTACATGTTAAAAAAATTTGGGTGCTGAATCTTTATGTTAAGTAGTGATTTGGTCCAGTTAAAAAAGGTCAAAAATTAGAATGTCTGAAGCTGTCAAACTGAATTTTAGCCCCCCTTAACACAGAATTGTCAATATTTTGAGTTAGAGCTGGTAGAAGTTTCTATAATTTTGATATTATTTGTATCAATAGTAGTACACTACACTGTAAAAATCTTTTTGAGATAGAGCAGGTGCGATTTTTTTAATTTGAATTTACTGTCTAAAAGAAATGCACTACGAAATAACTGTGTTCTCGGGCCTAAGAGATGAATTCCGTAAATGTAGATTCTGTACTTTGGCAACTTTCCTGAATGGTTTGCTGGTTTCGATTTGTCAAACTCAATAAAAGTAAAGGATTTACATCTTTGTTTGACAGAAATTCTGTTAAAATAAGCATTTTGGCATTATACGGCTAAAATAAGCATTTTAAAGCAGTTTCCATTTTATGCCTAAGAGCCATGCTGACTTTCTATCTGACAGCTTTTTATGTTCCTGATATTTGTGTTTCTATGCTTAAATCAAATTTAATTAACCATTTGTGAACTCGGAATCTAGAGAAAAGTAGATTATCACAGAAAAAATGTGCAGAATATTTGTATTTATGTCCCTGGTTAAACGGCCTGTTTGATGTATGTGAAATGTGAAGAGCTATGTACATAAAATCTGTAGTCCATCACAAATATTTCACTAAATCTGTAAAAAAAACACTTTACAATGATCAGTACACCCTATTCATTTCATATGCTACCATAATTTTCTTCTTTAGGATAGTAAGTGGTTCAAATATATGCCAAATGAGACTAAAACTACATGCAAGTTTTACATTGAAAAGTGAAAAACTGGTCATCAAACCATACTGTCTGCAAAAAAAAGTTGAATTCAAGAGTCCTTTTGCAATTAGACTTCTTGTATCATGACATCTTAGCATAGAAATGAGCAAAAAGTAACAAATTTCAATTTCTTATAGCCTCTGTGTGCATTTTTATATGTAAATATGGGCTACGGCCTAAATCGACTCTAAATAATTCTCAGTCTTACATGGCCTAAGACCATTTTATACTCATGTGGTATGCTTTTTGTAACTTTTCTTTACATTTAAAGTACATTTAATATATATGGAAGAATAATGTATGGTTAAAAAACTTCAAAAACTTCAAATTGGTTGAAAAAAATGCATGTTTATGTAAGGCTTCCCTTAATTCGAAAATCTCTATTTTCAGGCACAGGCTCATATAAATTTGACTTTTGAATAACTGAAATAAATCTGATAAATCAAATGAGTGTTCCGTTGCTTTAAATACTTATTATATTAAATTCAAGAGTATTTAAAAAGCAAATTTTTGCAATATTTAAATTTTTTAGGCCAAAATCTTGACAGTTGAAAATATTGGATTTAAACGTCAAAAATAAACATCCAAATTTCAATATTAAAATGGCCCTAGTTTCTATAATATATATCCTATGGCCATGAAACTTGGCCAACTATCTTATAATTGCCTAAGCTTAGGTCATGCAAAGTTTTATTAAAATTGGTCAAGTCTTTCTATCCTATTAGGTCCAAGGACACAGTTATCGTCCTTTGGTTTTCGTTGTCTACAAATATAGTCCCTAGTGTGAACAGTGTATAACTTGCATTTTTTTTTGATACACTTTCCCAATTTATTTCTTGATATTTTATGCATGAAATATTAAGTAAGGGGATGAAATTACATGTTAAAAAAATTTGGGTGCTGAATCTTTATGTTAAGTAGTGATTTGGTCCAGTTAAAAAAGGTCAAAAATTAGAATGTCTGAAGCTGTCAAACTGAATTTTAGCCCCCCTTAACACAGAATTGTCAATATTTTGAGTTAGAGCTGGTAGAAGTTTCTATAATTTTGATATTATTTGTATCAATAGTAGTACACTACACTGTAAAAATCTTTTTGAGATAGAGCAGGTGCGATTTTTTTAATTTGAATTTACTGTCTAAAAGAAATGCACTACGAAATAACTGTGTTCTCGGGCCAATATACATGATATATGAAAGAATTATTTTGTGAGTCCACTTTCATTGCAAGAGATTTTTATGCATTTGTGTTTTACAAATGTTTTACATTTGAAATAAATACAAGAATTTAATCATCTTTTAACAATTGTTCATGCCGCAAATGCTGGAAACAGCACGATTAAGTCTCCCATACAAGACTTTGATTGCAGGCTAGACAAAAATGCAAGACATCCTTTACAAGGTGATTACATTTTTTTCACTCATAGAGACATTGAACATTGTTGATCTTATACAAAGAAGGAAGATATTTAACAAGAGAAGCTGATTCTTGACCGTAAAGTCATTTAAATCAGATTATTTTATTACAACAAACATTTTCTAAAATTCCTTAAAAAAATATACAAAAATATAAATAAACTAGTAGCAAAAAGTACAACTGAAGCGACATCACAAAAGTAAAAGCTTATGCATTATGTAAATTCATGAATTTTTGCGATGTTTTTATCATTGCGAAAATTGTGACAGGATAGATTTTTCAAATATAAAAAACCTTGCATCTTAAATTGTGCTAGCATTTTTTGTATTTCCTGAAATTGCAATAATCAATCACACATTTTTCAAAAAATCGTAATAATAAATACACGCAAAACTTTCTGCATTTACAGTATTTAATTATTTGAGACAATTTATACAGAAACCAAGAGAATTGTGATTCAGGAACATTACTTTCAATTCATACGTATATCAATAAATTTACAGTGGAATCATTTATTTTCGTGGGAAACCAATTTTCTCTCCTAAAGAATCCACACAAACCAAGATTTTTTTCAAATATTCCAAGTGAAACATCTAAAGGAAAACAAAGACAAAACAAATAACTGCATGGCAGCCAAATTATACCCTGTTATATTCAAAAAGCAGATAACATATAACCTGATATATTCATGGGGGAACAACCTCTTGTTGATACTTCCAAACACTGTCAGCTTTAATTTCAGTTGAAAATATTTCATTTTGATTCATTAGACAACCAGGAAGGAACATAAAGTCAAAAACATCATTTGACCGATTAATTTGATCTGTCAAAGAGTTACAGAGTTTTGGTTCACAACTACTTTATCATAATAATATTTATGTTTAAATTACCTAGAACACAGTGATAAAGGTAGAAAACGGTGAAAAGAAATAGAACACAGTGAAAAAACATTGGGAACACAGTGAAAAAAACTTTCAGCAGATCATCTAATCAAAGTCACAACCAGTTTCTTTTTCTTTTTTAGAATATATTTAAGATACCACTACAGCCCAGGTAGACAATGTTCCCTGAATGTCCTTCAAGATTGATTATTTTGTTCGCAGAAAATTCACTGAAAAAAAGAAAAAGTTCAATGAAGATTACAGGACCAAAGAATTAACCGCCAGTGCTGAATAACATACAACAGGTATACCAATGGTTGTATTAACAACTCAATGGACTTCTTTTACAAATTTTCAACCTTCAAAGAAATGGCACATATCTAATCCAATATCACATTAAAGACTACACAACATCAGGGTACAAGAACAACTTGACCATATTTTCACAGAGGACCATTTCCATCTAGACTTTGCCTAAAACTCAATTGTTCTTGTAAAAAAATTTGCAATAAAACATTTATTCGATATTCAATTAAATTTCTATACAACAAAGAAAAGATATAATTTTGAGAATTGAGGTATATGAAATAACACTACTTTAAGATGCCCAACACAATGTATCTCCAAGAAACAGTGCTCCTATTGCTAACCTTCATCTTTACAATACTAATATATTGAAAAAAACAGGAACAAACATCTATAGGATTGACCAGGTGGACAAACTGTAGATGGGTTGGGAAAGAAACACCCAGCTGAGCTGTAGTATATCTGTATATAAATACATTATACAAGGTATCTAAGATAAGTACTATAAATATTGGTAACTTAAAATGTATGTATCATTCAACAAAGCACTTCACAGATATAACATAAGAGTCATACATTTAAAAATATGATATGGACCCAATATAATTCATAGAATACTAAATTTTGTAAGCGAAAGCAAACAAAAAATCAAAATACAAAAAAATATTACCAAACTTTGTATGTAAGGAAATGATAACAAAAGAAAAAAACCCAGTACCCTTGAAAACAATCCTCTATCAATGAAAACTGGTACCCAAAATACTAAATAATTCCACACCCATATAATTAGATATTGCCTTCCATATGGTCTTACTATTACTTTTTCTAGTACATTTGTAAAATTTTGTCACTATAAACAATAATCATCTAAAAATACGATAACTTATAACAGCACAAGTGTGCTGACAAAAAAAAAAACCTATCTTTTTGTTAATGTAAAACATTCAATGAAAAGTGTCAAAGCTTGTGAACCAAAATTAGAAATTCTTCTATAAAAACAATCTACGACATGCAATTTCTAAATAATTATCATAATATTTACTTATTGTATTGAACATTGATCATCTCCCATTTTGAAGTTATTTCCCCTTAAAATAGCACGAATAAGTTATCCACAGAGAGAAATATTTATATTTCCAATATGAAAGTAACAAGTTAACAAGGTGGCAAAATTTCATGTCTTTCAGTAACTTTAAAGACAGAAAAAATGTTTCAAAATCTTGAATTGAAGATATTTCATTTTACATCATGTATAAGCCTTAAAGGGGAAATAACTCTTTGGGAAATGTGAAACAACCAAAGATAAAAGACTTAGACAAAACTGTGAATAAAATTCTTCTACAGTGATGACTAGTACAATGCTCCTTTACAAAGTATAATGCTCAAGGGTGTATAAAAAATCAATAGAAAAATAAAGTCTATTTTGATCGTAGCACTACTGATATTTGTTATGTCTGGACTACAGTCCTCCCCAATCAATATAGATCATTATGATAGGTGATATTGTTCGTAGGCAGCACTCCATATCTCCCCAGAGTGCTTCAGACTCCTGAAAAAAAAAACAATAATATTCAAGATGGTTATATATATATATATATATATACATAATTGCACAACAATGTTAAATCTGCAAATTTGCGGAAGCAAATTTTTGTTCTTCCCTTGTCTGGATTCAAACTCATGCTATTGGGATATCGAGACAACACTGCCTGCACTGTGTCCAGCACTCTAGACCACTCGGCCACCTTTCCTCATCAGTATATATATATATATATATAATTCGTCTAAACAACAGCCCAACAATGTTAGATCTGTTTTTGTTCTTCCCTGGCCGGGATTCGAACTCATGCTACTGAGATATCGTGGCACCAAATCGCCTTGCACTATGCCAGACACGCTAGACCACTCGACCACCTAGGCTTCCAAAATTTACAGATATAACATTGTTGGGCTGTTGTTTAGACGAATTATATATACAGAATGTATTTTCAGCCTTGTATCACCATCACTGCTGGTGATCCGATGGAGAAAATCTGTTGTAGAGTCGTCACTGGTTCAGGCATACTTATATATATATAAATATACAAAATAAATTGTTAACACGGAGATATATCTGGCCTTTTTGTTATTTCGATACTGCAAATGTTGAAATTAAAATAGCAATACTTTAACATGTAAGTTATGTAAATATTCAAAGTCAATGAACCATGACTGAAGGTACAGGGCTAAACAATCCCCATGGGAATGAGATGTGCCAATGCTAATAAAACAGCATACCAAATACCATTGACTTATCATTAGTCATTCCCTTTAAACAAACATCAACTTGTAAACTATGTAAAAGTTTTAAAGTCAATGAACCATGATGAGGGGGTGGGGCTTTATAATATTCATGGAAATGAGACTTGTAAATGCCAATACATTTGCATACCAAATATCATTGACTTAACATTTGTGGTTCATCTTTAACTGATCTAATCACAAACTAATACATGTAAACTAAGCAAAAGTTTCAATGTCAATAGACCATGACTGAGGGGTAAGGACCAAACATTTTCCAAGGAAATGAGATGCGCCAATCCTTATACAACTGCATACCAATTATCATTGACCTACCACTAATGGTTTCCCTTTAACTGACCTAATCACAATCTAATACATGTCAACTAAGCAAAAGTTTCAAAGTCAATAGACCAGTACTGAGGGGGTGGGGCCAAATAATCTCCATGGAAATGAGATATGCCTATGATTATACAACTGCATACCAAATATCACTGACCTACCACTAGTGGTTCCTCATAAACTGACCTAATCACAAAGTAATACATGTAAACTAAGCAAAAGTTTCAAAGTCAATAGACCTTGACTGAGGGGGCAGGGCCAAATAATCTCCATGGAAATGAGATGTGCTAATGCTAATACAACTGCATACCAAAACAAAAATCATTGACCTACCACTAGTGGTGATTCATTAACTAGACCTAACATGCATACCAAAACAAAAATCATTGACCTACCACTAGTGGTGATTCATTAACTAGACCTAACATGCATACCAAAACAAAAATCATTGACCTACCACTAGTGGTGATTCATTAACTAGACCTAACATGCATACCAAAACAAAAATCATTGACCTACCACTAGTGGTGATTCATTAACTAGACCTAACATGCATACCAAAACAAAAATCATTGACCTACCACTAGTGGTGATTCATTAACTAGACCTAACATGCATACCAAAACAAAAATCATTGACCTACCACTAGTGGTGATTCATTAACTAGACCTAACATGCATACCAAAACAAAAATCATTGACCTACCACTAGTGGTGATTCATTAACTAGACCTAACATGCATACCAAAACAAAAATCATTGACCTACCACTAGTGGTGATTCATTAACTAGACCTAATCACAAACTAATACATTGTTGATGCCACTGCTGAAAACATTGATCGATTGGTTGGTGTTAAACGCCACTTTCAACACTATTGCGTTTTTTTCATTGCGGTCAGTTTTTTTTAGAGGAGGAAGCCAAGAGAGAACCATTGACCTTTGGTAGGAAAATTGATAATCCTAGTCAATTAAGATTGGAGTCAAGTGCACCTGCCATATGCGGGATTTGAACTCACAATCTCAGTGTTGACAGGCTAGTGATATAGTAGTTCGACTACTTAGACCACTCGGCCATCGGCCCCTTTGCGGAAAACAGCATACCTAGGTCTCTCTCTTTGACTCCGTCAAGTTGAGACAATAAAATGGGGAGAGCAATTGGCTTTAGAATACAGGGGAACATACTTTTTATAGACATAATGCTGATTTACAATTATCTTATTGGATTCTTCATGGGGAAGTCAGTTTTTTATTTTGTGCTGTTATTTTTTTTAGACAACTACTTGAAAATGGTTAACTCATAATTCAAAACGAACATTTAAGTCATTGTAACCATTGTCAATAATTAGATGCATCAATATGTTTGATCCCAGAGGTTTCTAAAAATCAAGTCAATGTGAGACCAAACTGTTCATTTGTAATTCCTTGAAAGAACTACTTTGTATTGTCATTCAAAACAGGACCTAAGGGGGCTTGGAATATGATGTGTTGCATTTCTATTGGCACTCAGTATTTTTCAGTTACACTTTTTTCACTATTAAATAATTTTTTTCAATTATTGATTTACTGTGAAAGTGGTTATTTTTTTCGGGCTATTATCACAATTTCAATGCATAAACATTTTGCACAGGTGTTAAATTCGCAACCTTTTCATCATCATTGTTTATTAGTACAAAGAATTTAGGTGGTGAATATTTCAATTATTTCTGTCACTTGGGAACAAGTGAAAATTTCCATGTATACAGTACAGCATTTGACTGTATACTGTACCCGGTAAATTAAAAAAAAAAATATTGCTTTGTATTTATTATTGAGAAAATTGAAAAGGGATGGGTTTTGCAAAAAATAAAAAGTCACATTTCAAATTTCAAAAGCATTATCTGAATGCAGAAGTTCCTGAAATCCCAATAAGTTATCTCACATTTGTGTCCATCTTTCATCAAACCCAATAATAAATTCATGCAATAATTTCTAAATTTACTAATTTGTATTGATTAAGCATCAGACGAAATATGATTAACAAATGTGAAATTTGGAGTTAAAGAGTGGAGCTAGCACCTCATTCTGCTACACTATTAACTTTACAACTAGAGGCTCTAAAGAGCCTGTGTCGCTCACCTTGGTCTATGTGCATATTCAACAAAGGACACTCTCCAACATTGTAGACGAGAACAGAATTCATGACAAAAATCTCTGTTTTGTTGATCTTGTATTGCTGATCATTTAGTCTGTTTAGTTTCTCTCTATCTTCTTTAGTTTTTGCTCAAAATACAAAAGAAGGTAAAAAAATCCTCTTTAAAGGGCAATCACTCCTATAAAGAGTGACAGTCTACTAACTATATCGGCAAAATTTGACTTGTTAGTAGATCTTGCCTTGCTGATCATTTTTGTGATTTAAAGTGTCTATTTATCTATTAAAACTTTTATCATATAAGGCAAAACGCAAAAAAATGTTAAAAATCGTCATTAAAAGCCAATAACTCCAATAAGGAGTCATCGGACGATTTCTTCCATATTGTCTTAATTGTAGATCTTGTCTTGCTGATCATTTTTGCTTACTTTAAGTTTCTATCTATCTATTATAATTTTTAAGATATAAGGCAAAAACACAAAAAATTGGTCAAAATCGTCATAAAAGGGCAATAACTCTAATAAGGAGTCGACCATGCGAACTTATTTGTAGAACTTGTCTTGCTGATCATTTTTGCAATTTAAAGTTTCTCTCTATCTATTATAGTTTTCAAGATAATAGGCAAACATTAAAAATATGGTAAAATTTGTCATTTAATGGCAATAACTCCTATAAGGAGTCGTCTGACAGTTTTTACGTATATGGACAACTGGTAGAGCTCACCATCCTGAACATTTTTGTTTCTGTCAGATTTTCTCTAATAATAAAGGTTTTCAAAATAATAGACAAAACTAGCATTTTACCCCCTATGTTCTATTTTAGCCATGTCGGCCATCTTGGTTGGCAGGCGGGGTCATCAGACACATTTTTAAAACTACATACCCCAATGATGATTGTGGCCAAGTTTGGTTAAATTTGGCCCAGTAGTTTTAGAGGAGAAGATTTTTGTAAAAGTTAAAGGGCGACAGGACGAATGTGACGACGACGGACGCCAAGTGATGAGAATAGCTCACTTGGCCCATTGGGCCAGGTGAGCTAATAAAAAATGATAAGCATTCATCAAATACAACTTGAGTAAAATATATATTACTTACTTGATAATATCAGCAAAAGACTGATACAGAGATTTAACTTGGTGAGGTATACCATGTTTCTTACATAGGGACTGAACTAGTGGTTGGATCTTGTACAGATTGTGTCTAGGCATCGTAGGAAACAGACTGGAAAAAATTTACTAGAGTCAATAAAGTTTAACATTATATTGTCATTTTTATGGGGGTGTTTTTTGACAATGTGAGGTCTTTGAAAAATCAAAAATTAAAAGTTAGGTTACCATGTTAGTTTTCTAGTCATAGGACAATTGATTCATTGCTGATTGCTTATTGTCCAGTGGCAAATCTTTCATGTATATACAGGTTTAATTTCAGGTTGAGATCTAGAAAATTGCAAAAAATATATCAACGCAAAATTTGAAATATTTTTTTTTCAACACTAAAATTTTGTTCAGCATTTTTTATTCCAACAATGTTTTTAGTATTTAAGCAGACTAGCCTTTAGGTAAAAGGTCAAAAAATTTTTACAGTCCACATGGAATCTTAAAATTATTTTTTCTAAGAGGTCATTGGGACGGTCAGACTACTGTAATCCAACTTATCTATCCTTTCTAGCAGACTTTGCGATGATTTATCTTTGTTCGTAATTTCCCAACTATGTTGATGTATCTATATGAGAAAATCCTAAAACTTCACACAATAGCAACCATTTATTTTCACATAAGTACTTTGCTTGCCAAATTCCAAAAAAAAATAAATCATGCATGAAAATTAGTGTTTTTTTCAATATTATCTCGAGGTCAGCCACACCATAAGATAGAACAAACCAAGCCAATCAATAATGAATGCATTTTTTTGTGTAATTACATCCCTCTTAAAGTACATGAATATGAAAACATCTTTAAAATCGACAAAAGAAACAAACCAATTACTTACTGGTGCTCTATCTGGAAGTTTAGATGTCCAGTAAACCAGTCATTGAAGAAAGATTTTTCAACATCACATGTGGCCGCCATCTGTAATTTCAGCCATGGTTTCTGGTCGTCATGGTCAATATTCATAGGGATATGGTTAGATTGAGCAACCCACACAAACCATGTAGATTCAATTATCCTGAAATCATAAATAGTTACATTGTGTAATTATGTCCGGTATAAAAGTTACAAATGTATTGAATACAACACCAAATAATCAAAAGGGGTGTTTGATTTGCTGTGTAAAATCATCAACTCTCAAAGGATTATATACTTACACCCTTTTCTGCTTCATTTTCTTTGACTTCATGAGCTATAAAAATTTTATATATATATAAAATTTCTTCATACATGTATGTTCATTTATTTGAAAATGCACCAGAGAAGACATTATTAAGTTGTAAAACTTGTGTCTCATCCTTTTTTTTAATTTACGAACAATAAAATATGTTTAAACTAAACTATACATATAGGTGCCGGCAGATGTAGCATCATCTATCGAAGAATTAAGCTCGAACTAGTGATAGGGTTGTCTTTCAGGATCAATGAGGTGTAAACTTTTGATCCGTTTTGAAGGCCCACTGTGAGATGAAGAACAGTAAAAAAAAGCACTGTTTTTGCTTTGGGTTTTGTAAAGTGTATGTAAGGAGTCTTAAATCAAAACACCATGTCCCATATTGGAGAAACAGATTCCAACACCAAGGTCAAAATCTCTTATTTCCTTTTTACAAATTTACCATACATCTGAATTGAATTACTGGTAACAGTTTACCAGAAATATCAAAATTATGTTACGCCCACTTACTGTAGCTAAATAAAAATTGAGACCAATGAAAATTTTGTCTTTGCATGTACATTTGCTTCTGGAACAGCTCTGAAGAAGGTTCAACAGATTTTAATGAAACATTGAACTGAGGTAGTAAACCATATGAAGTACAGAATGAGGATAACATTTTTGGTCCAATAAGTTTTAGTTGACTTTAATACTGAAGGCTTCATTGCCTTGCGGAGGTTTATAACTTCATCACTCTATGCTAACAATCCATTAAGTTCACTTCAATTTCCACTTTCAAAGCCAATCAGGTCTAAAACACTACCGGCTAAGCGGAAAATCTTTCTGAGGATCTTATATTCACTAATTTCATGATAAAGATAAAATGGTGGAAATATCCATTCACAAAAATTTGTTATTTAAAGTAGATCAACATCATGGACAAGAAAAAATCAAAATAAAACCTCACTAACAGGTTTAACCCTAGAAATTGTGAAATTAAAAGTCTGCAAGATTAATCCAATGTACATATCTTACCTAAAAGCTTCATAATAGAAAAATGTCCATCCCCATCCTACCAGAGGTACCAAGAAGAAACAAAATCGGAAGAAGTATGAACCCATAATAATGGCGTCCTGTAAATAAATAAATAAATATCAGCACTCTTACTACATTCCTCCCTATCATACAATCAGTATAGGGAAAGAAATCTCTGTATTAATGAAAAATTATTACACCAGGGTTTTTCGATATCACAAACTAGTCAAAACATTTACTAAATTTTATCATCAGTACAAGGACATCATTTGTAAATATAAATCAACATGCAGACATCTTATACGTTCAGGTATTTCACATCCAATATTTTATGGTAATATTCTTTACAAAGCACAAAAATGTCGGCATTCACCTCAAAAGCTAACCAAACCTTTAAACAGACTTATTCGGTAAGGATATAGTTACGATACTGTTGTCAGGTCATTAAGGATTGCATCGGAAATAAACACATTTATTCTAAAACCAGTTGTTGGCATGATACGGGTTATGTTCTTCTCATATATTTTATGATGGTATGATACTAAACCCAAAACGGGAAGGATTGTGCTTGATTTTCATATGATGAAGACATATAATCATTCAATCAGTTTAATTGATGTCTGGAGCTGGCATGTCAGTAACTGCTAGTAGTCCTTTGTTAATTTATGTATCATTGTCATTTTGCTTAGTTTCTTTTGTTACCTATTCTGACATCGGACTCGGACTTCTTTTAAACTGAGTTTTACTGTGCGTATTGCTATGTGTTTCTTTATTCTACATTGGCTAGAGGTATAGGGGGAGGGTTGAGATCTCACAAAACATGTTTAACCCCGCTGCATTTTTGTGCCTGTCCCAAGTCAGGAGCCCCTGTCCTTTGTTAGTCTTGTATGTTTTTTAATTTGAGTTCATTTATATGTTTTGGAGTTTAGTGTGATGTCCATTTTCACTGAACTAGTACACAATTTTATCTAGGGGCCAGCTGAAGGACGCCTCCGGGTGCGGGATTTTCTCGCTGTGTTGAAGACCCATTGGTGGCCTTCGGCTGTTGTCTGCTCATTGGTCGGGTTGTTGTCTTTTTGACATATTCCCCATTTCCATTCTCAATTTTAAACTTGATTGTAATTTTTTTTTTATCAATATGATTTTGTGCATTTGTCTGCGAGTTCACGTTGAAATTAAAATCCCCTTCAGAAATTATATATCATTCTTGTTCATCCTCTGAATTTTTAAACCATGATCATATGTTTAATATTCTTATTAATTTTTGTCTTATTTCTATATTGTATAGAAAATCTCCAACTTCCCACATGGTTTTATACAAAACTTGTGTCAATGTGAGTGGAACAAAAATATCTTTGGCCTTGGTTCTTGCATCTTCGCTATCCAAGGGTTACAATCCATTCCCTCCTCTTCACCCTTGGTGAATTAAGATAGAATTTCGGATCCATGAGTTAATGATTTCCATTGGTCGCAGCTGTAACTGGCTGCATCCAATCAAAAGCGCCTTTGAGATGATCATGTGTAAATGTATAAAATACAAATAAACTATTGCCACATGCTGATTGTGCAACAAGTCTTTAACCTCAAAACACAGGAAGATATTTAGTGACAATTTTAAAGCTCTTAATCAACTAATTGAAGTTCTTTGGTACCTTTCTCGTGCAAGCGTTGGAATGTCAACATATATTTTTCGGTTCCTGCTTCACAAAACTTGTAAACATAAGACACAATCATTTTTACACCTCCACACTGAAGAGATTCAAAGTACTGTCATTGGTCAAGAATGATGTAGTCGGAATGGGAGTGACTTTTATCTACTAGTAGATGGCGCAGCATTGTAATCACAAATGTTGGCTTAATCTGCCAAGGGTGGAGAGGAGGGGACTGGATCGTAACCCTTGGCTAGCCAAGATGTAGTTTTTGAGTCTCATGGTAATTCCAGACAGGTTTGATACAGACCATAATAATGATTAGGCAAAAAAAATTATGTGTTTACTATAACCTTATGGAAATAATTGGGTCTGTTGGTGGGCATATTTTTTTCAGCAAACATAGAAATAGACTTATCCAGTTTTAGAATCAGATTTGGTTTTGCTTCTTAATATATTTACAGTATTAAATGTGGCTATTTGTCGAAGTTGTTTTTGTCAGTCAGATATGTTTTACTCGTTTTTATACCTGTGGACAATTTTTGGCATTAAGCTAGCAGTTGAATAAAAACAAAATCGCTGTCAAGAATAATACTTGTGAAAATATAATTTGCCCAATTTTTTTAAAAATAGTTAAAGTTGGCTCTCAAAAATTAGGACAGTCTGGGTACAGTGAAGACACGTTTTTGTTTTTGCCTTAAAAATTTGTATTTTACTCACCAGCCAAAGCTTTCTGGTATATACATGTCTAAACAACATAAACTGGAAATACAGAGGAAACAGCAAAGGGGGAATAACTGTAAAAGATAATTCAATTCATTCAATATTTGTATTCGTTTTAAATTGTTTTATTTACCCTGGGTGTGATTGCTGCTGTCAGTGTACATGTAAAATGTTGACTGCCAAAAACAAAGTCCATTTATCAATAAAATCAACAAAAAAAATTTCTTCAGATGCTCTTTCTTGATCTTTTGTCCAAGTTTCATAACATTCCATGAAAGTATGACAAAGTTATTGATATTTAAAATAAATGTGGATAGTGTCCACATATGGACACAGATGATACCCCCGCTTGCATATCATATAGTTAAAAAGGGACATAACTGAATAACGGTAAAAGTGACGCTGCCCAAATTTGAACTTGATCTGAGTTTTGTGGTAATAAGCATTGTGTGTAAGTCTCATAACATTTGGTTGAGGCTAACTTAAGTAGAGAACAGAAACTAAAAATTCAGCAATTTTTCTATTTGTAAACACGCATAACTCTAGAACGGTTGTGTATAAGTTTTATAACATTTGGTTGAGACAAACTAAAGTTAGAAAACGGAAACAAAAAATTCAGCAATTTTTATGTTTATAAAGGGACATAACTAAAGAACGGTAAAAGTATCGCCACCAAAATTCGTACTTAATCTGTATCATGTAGTAATAACCATTGTGTATAAGTTTCATAACATTTGGTTGAGGCAAACTAAAGTTAGAAAATGGAAACAAAAAATTTGTACTTGATCTTAGTTTTGTGGTAATGAATATTGTGTATTGGTTTCATAATGTTAGGTTGGGGCAAACTTAAGTTACAGAATGGAAACTAAAAATTTTGCAATCTTTCGATTTATAAAGGGACATAACTCAATAATGGTTAAAGTGACACTACCCAAATTCAACTTGATCTGTGTTTTATCAGTGGAAGTCAAAATTAAACATTGCATTGTATAAAGCATTGATTGTAGTTGATTCAACTATAATCATGGACAAAGGAAGATAACTCCAATTTTAAAAATTACTTGATATTTAGAAGAAAATAAAAATTTTGCAATTTTTCCATTTATAAAGGGGCATAACTCTAGAACGGTTATTCAAACTTGATCTGTGTTTTGTGGTAATAAGCATTGTGTATAAGTTTCATAACATTTGGTTGAGGCAAAATTAAGTTAGAGAACGGAAACTAAAAATTTTGCAATTTTTCCATTTATAAAGGGCATAACTCTAGAACGGTTAAAGTGATGCCACCAAAATTCAAATTTGATCTGTGTTTTGTGGTAATAAGCATTGTGTATAAGTTTCATAACATTTGGTTGAGGCAAACTCAAGTTAGATAACGGAAACTACTTTTGGGACGTAAGTACATACGTACAGACGGACAAGGGTAAAACTTAATGCCCCCACCACTATGGCGGGGGCATAAAAATTGATCTAAGACTGTATGTAAATGTTTACTACTAAAAAGAGTAAATGAGTGGCTTGCTCTAATATACTCAGTTTATGACGAACTTTCTCTATATCCTTGAGTATATGAGTGGCTTGCTCTAATATACTCAATTTAAGAGTAACTTACTCTATATTATTGAGTACATGAGAAACTAGCTCTTATATACACGAGTAAATGAGTAGCTTTCTCTAATATACTTGAGTATGAGTTTTTTACTCTATATCATAGAGTATGAGAGTAGCTTGCTCTTATATATTTGAGAATGAGTAGCTTGCTCTAATATACTTGAGTTTATGAGTAACTTGCTCTTAATATACTTGAGTTTATGAGTAGCTTGCTCTTAAGGATGTATTCTTCAATTGTTTCAGTCTCGTTGAAATCTCATTCTTGAATTATTTCCAAATCATGTGTTACAAGTGGAAAATATCAATGAATTTAAAAAATATTATAATCAAATTAACTCTGTGAAAATATTGTGTATTTACAATAAGTAGTTTTTGAGTAATAAAATTTTCAAATTTTATAACCAAACAAGTCAGTTTCTTTAGCTAAAATCTTGAGAAAATGGGTGAGGGGTATAAGAAATGATTTTACCAGAAACATGTACATCCCATTTCAATTTTTTCTTTTCAAATTTCTTAGATATGTTTTTTTCAATCATTTATAACAAAGAAGTTGAAATAATATGCTTTTTGTTCTAAAAAAAGAGAAAAATCCCAAATTTTCAAAATTGACAGCATGGCAAATTTGAAACGAAAAAGCAACAAAATTTTAAAAAACTTTCTTATATTAACACCTACCTATAGTTTTTTTTTAAGTTAAATTTATTCAGATTGGTCCACTTCATCTTTAGTGAAAGTATGAAAAAAAGTTTAATTGTGAAACTGTGATTTCTTTCATGATAATAGCCCAAAAATGGGTAAAAATTGATGAAAAATGGGAAAATCATCAAAATTGGGTACTTTCTTATGGCCGTAGCAAAAAACAGAAGTGCACCACCATATGATTTTTTCTTCACCAATTATTTTTTTACAGTCATATAAACCCAAAAATTAGGTTAAGAAAAAAAGTTTAATTCTAGAAATTTTTGGCTCCTCAGAGGTGTACATCCTTAATATATATAGAAATAAGATGATGTGGTATGAGTGCCAATGAGACAACTCTCCATTTAAGTCACAATGTGTAAAAAGTAAACAATTTTAGGTCAAAGTACCTTCAACACAGAGACTTTGCTCACACCAAACAGCAAGCTATAAAGGGCCTCAAAATGACTAGTGTAAAACAATTCAAACAGGAAAACCAACAGTCTAATCTATATAAAAAACGAGAAACAAGAAACACTTAAGAACCACATCAACAAACGACAACCACTGAAAAAGGTTCCTGACTTAAGACAGGTGCAAACAAATGCAGCGAGTTTAAACGTTTTAACAAGAGCCAACCTTCACCCTAACCTGAAATAGTAGTGTAACATTACAACATAAAAAGACACACTATAAAATATCAATTGAAATGGCTTAACTCAATCAAAAAGACATATTAACAAAATCAAGTAAACATACACTGAACGCATAAATTTGATCTATGACACAATGTCAAAAAGACACCTATAACCTTGGACAAAATGGCGTAAAATAACGTACACAGGTAAATTTAAATATAATAATTTTGTATGAGTAACTTGCTCTTAATATGCTTGAGTATATGAGTAACTTTCTCTTAATATACTTGAGTTTATGAGTCACTTGCTATTAAAATGCTTGAGTTTATGAGTAACTTGCTCTTAATATGCCTGAGTATATGAGTCAGTTGCTCTAACAAGCAGGATTAACTGAAATACTTACAGAAAGGGAAATACTTGTGTTGCTGATTATAAGGAAAGGATTTTTTCCCCGATTTGGCAACCTGAAATAAAAACGAATACATTTACAATCTCAAGAACGAAAGAGCAGTGGAAAATAATGTTTGTTTTGTTGTCTTAATTACAATTATTTAAACACTGATTTTGGTAAGTTAATAAATAAGGATATAAACAAGAAGATTACAAATTGAATTATGTGCTTGAAGTCAAACTTTCACAGACTGCCATTCAATGGCACTGAAGTTGTAACTTTCTTACCTCAACTGGCATGACTTCTCCTACAACAAACAGTTGTTCAACTCTTACATCAGGATCTTTATCCAACTGAAAAATATGGTAACAAATTAACATACATGGCGGCGATGTGATTAAAAAAACTCTAATCAGTTATCTCCCTTATCAAATTTAACTAAGTGAGTTACCTCCCTCTGGCATTAGGTATACAAAATTATTTGTTTTTTGTCACTAGGATTAGGAAATTTCTTTAATTATAGATACTATTAATTACAGAGTGTGTGGACACCATAGTTCTTATAGACAAAAACATAAAACAAGAGGCTCATGAGAGCCTGATATCGCTCACCTGTAATTTCAGTTTCAGGCATTTGACTTATTTGTAGATCTTACTTTGCTATACAAATTTTGTCATTTACACTTTCTCTCTTTCTATAATAATATTAAAGATAATACATAACACAAAACTGTAAAATTTTACTCAAAAATACGGTAACGGTAACTCAAAAATAATTTGTCCTATTGGTCTGAAGATTACTTGAAAGTTAGATCTAAACCTGTTGAACACTTTCACCTATGTCAGTTTTGCTCTTACTGCTTTAGTTTTTGAGATGAAAGCCAAAATCTTCATTGTGGTGGGGTTAAACCAGTCCTACTTGGTACAGGCACAACATGTGGTGGGGTTAAACCAGTCCTACTTGGTATCGGCACAACATGTTGTGGGGTTAAACCAGCCCTACTTGGTACCGGCACAACATGTGGTGGGGTTAAACCAGCCCTACTTGGTACCGGCACAACATGTGGTGGGGTTAAACCAGCCCTACTTGGTATCGACACAACATGTGGTGGAGTTAAACCAGCCCTACTTGGTATCGGCACAACATGTGGTGGGGTTAAACCAGCCCTACTTGGTATCGGCACAACATGTGGTGGGGTTAAACCAGCCCTACTTGGTATCGGCACAACATGTGGTGGGGTTAAACCAGCCCTACTTGGTACCGGCACAACATGTGGTGGGGTTAAACCAGTCTCACACATGAACCATTCCATTGCAAAATTTATTTCCTTCCATACATATATATAAGTGTATAGTAGCATGCGAATTTGAGCTCAGACTGGTAGGAAGTTTATACATTGTATATCTATAACTTACCACATTAGGTTTCGCATGGTGCTGGTAATGCATGTGATTCCACCAATCAGGACAGGCTCCCTGGAGGAGATGATTGGAAGATTTTATTAACATTAGATTTTGCTAAAGAAATCTACAGCACTTAACATTGACAATATTCATAACTATAACTTTGGAAAATATAAATTTATGTTTTCTTTTATAAATGTATCAACCTATATGGCATGTTTTATAGGGTACAATTAATGATTTTTTTTTATATATATCAAAGTACTTGAGAAAAGAAACTGATATGTAAGCAGACATGTTCTTATTTTAATACCAATACAATGAAAGATGTCTAAGAAGGCTGAAGATACTAAAGTAATATTCAAACTACTAAGATGAAGACAAACTGACATCACAATGGCAAAAAATGACAAAAAAGACAAACAAAAGTCTACAAAAAACAACATAAAAAACTAAAGACTGAGCAACACAAACCCATTCAAAAACTGGGGGTGATCTCTTGGCACCTGAAGGGTAAGCAGATCTTGCTCCACGTGTGTTTACTGATTATTACTGAACTTTTTGTTATTCCACTAATTTAGATCACAAGATGGATCAGTCACCTTTCAAATATGTTCCTTAATAACTGAAGAAAAGGTAGTTTCTTAAATCCACGTCATTTGGACTCAGGTGAATAGTTCTCATTTGCAGTCCTACCACATCTCCTTATTTTAATAACTTATGACAAAGGACATGGTATGGTAAGAGCCATTATTTGGCCATTTTATGCATTTCCAGTCAAAATAAATATCAGCAAGTTATTTACCCAAAAAGGTATTTAACATCTATGTAAAATACAAGATCTGAAAATGAGGCTATTTCGGCAACAATGCTGTTTTGTTCTAAATGGTAAAAAGTTCAAAGCCCAATTTTAACTACCGGTAGTAAATAAACCATGTTCTCCCAGACAAAAGAGAATCATTTGTAGAAGACCTTCCAGAATTCATTCCTGAAAAGTTTGATTAAATTGAATAGTGGTTTCAGTAAAGAAAAAAGTGAAATAGTTGCACCAGATGAAGACAGATGGCCATTGCTTATTTGACCAATGCATGAAATATTTTCTACTGCATGTTAGAAACTATAATCTACCAACCATTCTTTTTTGATAACAATAACATTCACCTACCAAGTTTTGTTGATTTCTTGAATTGGACCAATCTGACCAATTAGCTACTTCATGACTCACTTTATAATTTCAACTGTATTTATCCTTTAGATTAACATGTCAAAGAAGTAAACAGGTGTTCCTGAAATGGGTTAGCCACAGGGGATTCTGGCATTTATGTAACCTCTTCAGTGGCAAATATCAAAAATTTGGGCAAAGTAATTCATAAATATGGAGCCTACATTTTGACTATTTTCCCTTTCAGAATCTAAGGAATTGCGGGTAATTCAATTGTTCAAACACCAAAATGAAAATACAGTATTGGCAGGTTATTTTCGCGATGGTGTAAAATTTTGAGATTTTCATACAATAAGGTATACAAAATTTTTGGCGGTTATTATTTTGGCGGATTCAAAACTTTCATACAATACCATTGCATGTGCACTTTTAAATTGGCGGAATTTATTTTGGTGATTTTGTTCTATCCGCGAAAATAAGCGATGATTTACACCCTGCGAAAATAACCCGCTATAAGGTACTACGTGCTATTGGACTACATCCATTGTTAACCAATCACATTTAGAAATTTGCTTTAGAAATATTACCCAAAATGCATTAGTTCCTGAAATGGTGAATTTAACTGCATACTTATATATATATATATATCTGTTTAGATTTGTCAAACAACACTTATGGTCAGATCATATGTTTTTGTACGTCATATGAATTTGTTTTTCAATGGAAATTGTGATGTCACAATGCATTCTTAATAGCACGAAAACCCATAAGACGAGGATAATTTGATAATTGATGATATAAAACACATTTCCTTACAACATCAAAAACGACTTTGTATATTTTTTAATAAACGGTGTGTCTATGTGCGGATTATACCTTTAAAAATCCAAGTACAAAATAATGAAAAAAATGGTCCCAAGTTGTGTTGTGAAAGACAGATAAATGACCAAAATCATGCTGTAACCAACCGCCTTGAGCCTGAAAAAATAAGACCCTTATCATATAATATGTAACAAAAACATTAAATACAACAGGTTTGGCTAGAGCATACAATACTATATACAGTACATTATCATTATGGACCAAACTACTACCAAAATCTGAAGATAATTTTTTTTAACAATATCTCAAAATGAAATCTAATTTAGACATGTTTGATATATTAAACAATATTTTAACCTGAATTTCAACAGATGCTAATCACAATTGAAAATTTTTCAATAAAATATACTGCTATTATAAAATTGTATGCTCTATTTGTGTATAAAACAAATAAACAAAAGTATAATAAAATGTATGAACTATGAAGTGAAAATAGACCTCAGTTTTTAACATTATAATAAGAGAATTTCCAGCTCATGGTAAGGCTGGCATAACACTATATGAAATGTGTATGTTGTGACAGCTTTGTCATTAATTTTTAAATTTCAGTATCATGTTTGATTACATAAGACATGTACTGAATTCTTCAACAGGACACCATATAATTACAACAGTAAAAAGCAATTTAAGAGTAAGATGTTAACAGTATAAATTGTTCATTCAAGCAGGATGTTTTATAAGACATGTCAAATTAAGGTCTCTTTTCATGATATTTACCCAGAGAAGAGCATGATGGTAATAAATTATAAAATGAGAAAAAACTTTGTTAAAATCACCCCAAATGACAGTTTAAAACAAATTATGGAATAAAAGGGCTGACTGGGAACTGCTCTGTCATAATTGTATTATATTTCTGATATTACAATCAGGATATTTTTCTTCTTCTCCTCTGTTTCGATAGATAATCTTAAAATGATTAAAATGGAGACACATTGAAAATTCATGCATAAAACAACACTTCATTCAATTTACAATAAAAAACATGTGTGTTGAAATGAAAAATCAGTTTAAATAACTATTATAATATAAAAAAATAAATTTCTAAAAATGAGTGCTTAAAATTTCTAATAAAATACAAATAAGGGAAATCTCTGAATGTATAATGATAATATTTAATATTCATAAACCTGCAAACCACCTCTGACCTAAGGACAACAGAAACCTCTCAAGTTACAAAGTTATCCACTTTAGGAGAAAAACACCATCAATTAGCTTACAATCACAATGACCAGTGTGGAATCCCTGTTTGATTATTAATTACTGTGGATTCATCCTCCTTTGTGGGACACCAATTTTCTCTGTTATATTAGGTAAAGGTAAACCACAAATTTTAATGGTCAACTAAGTACAAATGTACCATATAATGGTTACTAATAATTTTAAGCACTGTTCTGTCAGAAAGTTGAAGAATTATCGTTACCAAAAATTCAAAAATCTAAATTACGTAAGAGCTCAGAAAAAACTCTGTTTGGTCCACTGGGCCGCTAAGCACTCAACTAAGTACAAATTTTAATGGTCAACTAAACCACAAGTTTTAATGGTCAACTAAGTACAAATTTTAATGGTCAACTAAACCACAAGTTTTAATGGTCAACTAAACCACAAGTTTAAAATGGTCAACTAAACCACAAGATTTAATGGTCAACTAAGTACAAATTTCAATGGTCAACTAAACCACAAGTTTTAATGGTCAACTATGTACAAATTTACTATAGGTTTGTATATAAATTTTGGCAAAACAACAAAATCAAATATTCACAAAACCAGAAACTTTCATAATCAATAAAAATTTAACTATAATTTATTAAAACTTTCAACTCCCAACTCAAACAGAAACATATCAACTAACTGATTTTGTGCTTCATAATTAGACCTTAGAACAATTATGGCTAGTCTGAATATGCCACATTTATAATAATGGAAGGAGCTGCTTGTTTATCACAGAATCCAAAATTTAAAATAAATTTTACTGATCTGATAAAAAAATAATAATAAAATGCAAAACTGAGGTTTATTTCTACATCCAGAAAGAGTTATCTCCTTGTTGTAGGGAAGTCTGCCAGAGATAACGTTATTTTAGTAGTGCATAATACTCCTTTATACTGATATGAGACAAAAAGTAAATCTTTATCAATATGACACTATCTATACAATGCAGTATAAACAGTGTGTTATCAAATGTGAAGAAATAAAATTTGATATAAATTGAATTTTTAGGTTAAAAAAAACGAAGTTACAATACAGATCTAATGTATTACCTTTTAAAACATCTCAATATTTTCCCAAAAAATACTCATACTCATAAATAAAATTCTGTATATATCCATCAAACATTTTCTTAATAAATAAGATTTCCAATTAACATAACTTAATAAAGATTTGTCAATAGACACCAGGTTTCCAGTAAACATAAACTTTGACTACTAGACTGGGTTGCACAATCGTTAATTAAAGTTAAACCAGGTTTAAATTGAACGAGTCAATTAAATCACAAATTCTTCAACAACTTTGATTGACAATTAAATTTTAAACATCATTTAACTTTAAATAATGCTTGTTCAACTCAATCCTGGTAGTCTAAATCTGAATTTTAACTCCTGTATTGAATCTAGCCTAACTAGCCTAACCTCTCTTGGCAATGTTGCTCCTACACAAGGGGGTGTAACTCTAACGGAAAATATACAAACAACAATGTTGTACCTTGAGAAATCCCATTGTAAAATAATGTAAGACATGATTTAGTCTGGTGCTACTGAATACGGACAAATGTCCAAAGTCATGTTGTAGCCAAGCTGTTTGTGCCTTCAAAAACATTTCAATAGTTCGGTTATTTCAAATGAAATCATCTATATTCATCCTCCCTCCTTCTCCAATGTTTTTATTTCAATTTTACATTTTATTTTTTCATTTTTTGAAGATTTATTTGAAATCCCAGCAATTCCAGTGAAATCAAAGAAAAATGAATTGAAAAATATGCTTAACATAATCTAGTATGAATATAATGTGTTTGTCCTAAGAAAAGGTACATGTATATTAGCATATTAACATACTAAGAAATAACTGTATATTGAAATATGGTTGACATATTTCTCATTCTTTTATGCAAACCTTTCACTCTCTTAGCTTAAGCACTGTATCTATTTTGTTTAGTCTCATTTACATCTACCCTCAATGTAATCTAGTATTGAAATCGGCTGGGAAATCATAATAGATTAATCGGATGTTCCAATTGAGTTTTGGATTATAGTTGGTTTTTAATTTACATGTATGTGTATAAATAATGTAGGAATTTCGAAATACACTATATTGAAAATTATAATCTTAAATATTTTCAATATTCTATCATTTTTCAATTATAATTGATAAACGTAACAATACTTATCAAATATCATATAATGTATTAAGTACAAATTTACCTGTGATGTTCCATACAATGCTATAGAAATCAGGAATGGAGCCCAGCCTACTCCAAAATATATAAGTGTAAGAGCTGCTAAAACTTCTAATACCATTATATGGCCTAAGAATATACCAAAATATGAAAAGCTTGGCTTAAATAAACCCTGAAATAGAAAAAGAGAAACAATTTTACCATTATATGGCCTAAGTATATACCAAAATATGAATAGCTTGGCTTAAATAATCCCATAATTACAAAAAGAGAAACAATTTTACCATTCTATAATATGGCCTAAGTATATACTGGTATGCCAAAATATGAACAGCTTGCCATAAATATGTAAACAATTCTTCAAATAGAAAAACATAAAAAAGTTTTCAATTATATTTAAAAAATAAATAGGCTTCCCACTTCATTTCCAGACTTGAAAACATAATGCCCCTGTACTATCTTAGACGGGGAATGAAAAAATATATACAGAAAATTTCAATACTGTGGATTCATTTATTTTCGTGGGTACCAATTTTCGTGGATTAAGGAAAACTTACATGTTCGTTGATATTTAATTTCGTGGTTTTGACGAAGTCTGCATACAAGCTTATGGAAAATTTGTTATTCGTTGAACATTTAATTTCGTGGTTTACCTGCACCCACGAATTCCACGAAAATTGGTATCCAACGAATAATAATGAATCCACAGTAACCATAATGTATCATATAAACTTCTATGCAGATTAAATGTTTACCATTTGTTCAGCTGTTGATCGTAACTTCCTAAAATCTTCATCTATAGTTCTAGTCTGTGTATCTTTAACAGAACCTACATGTAACGGCTTTAAATATTTCTTTACGCTGGCTAGATCATTGTGGAAAGCTTGAAACGCATCCTACAACATGTACAATGGAAGAAATGAAATATAAAAATACTAATTGCTATAGGTACAAATGTAATTTCATATTCATCTAAATTTCATCAAAAGCAGACACCTGTGAAAATCCTTGTATTTTGTCTGTTCAGAATTTTTGTCTTGGTGAACCAAAACCATGATGTCCCTTCTCATTAATTGCTTGACGTCTGTGGCCTGCTTATTAAGGATTTATATACATATTTAATTTCTATGTTTGTTACAGAGGTTTCACACTATCTTCTATATAGACATAAAGTTTCTTGGCAGTAAATTTTACTGTTAAGGGAAACCTGAATGCCTGAAGCATAGAACCAGCCAGAAAAAGTCTATCCCATGTCAGAAGAGCCACTACACAAGAAGAAGACTCCAATCTTTTCATTAGGGTGATACACATTTTGGGTTTCATGTCGAGGCCTTTTATAGGTTGCACTTTGTAAATACAGCTGTTTCACAAACCACGCCTCTTTTGGGGAGATATATAATATTCATAGATATTTAGTTTTGTTTATGTACTGGTTCCCAGATATGATCTCCATGTTTCATCTCATAAAGACATAACTTGGGAATGTTACCAGTATAAATACACATGATCATGAATAGCAGCCAAGTTGAATGCTGAGGAAGACCTAAAGTTTTTCAATTTAAAAAATAATCATACCACATCTTATTTCTTCCTATATAATATATACATGACATATATCATCTATTCATGTCTTTATAATACAGTCAAAACTGTAGGTTAAGAAAAAGACACCATAGGACATAGAAATATGTTCCATATAAAAGTAGATGCCCAGTGTAGAGTAAGAGGTACATTTTTAACATGTTCAAGTTTGCATTGCATTTCACAGGTCAGACAACCCTTTAACTACACAGATAGACAGTGAAAATCATATAATAAGTTTGAACATGTTGAACTTTTTAAAGTTCATATAACAGTTTATAATATCTAATATAAACAACAAAGTAATGTTATTACAACTCAATCCTGGATAAGTGGAAAAAACTTGTATCAATCTTATTTTATATACAATACATAACAATTCAATACAAATAATTTGATTTCTTCAGAAGCATGACTAGGTCAAACTTTTCAGTACATGTGTACAAGTAGCTGCCCATTAGGCATTACACTCATTGTACGTGAACTTCTTACTAGGGATTTAAACACATTTTTTCACAATTTCAGAATCAATACCGGTTTATTTTCATTCTTAACATTAAAGCTCCAATCATAAGAAAACACTGAATCACATTTTATCTGTAAATTTTTGGGTGAGTCTGAGACATCTAATTATTTAAGATTTTACTTTGCGATAGTTTAAGTGTTGCCTCTGAATGACAATAAATAAGTTACTTGTTCATGTTATGAATATTAAAATAAGGATATGTGGTATGATTGCCAATGAGATTAAGTCTACCGAGACCAAAAGATGTGGATGTAAGCAACTATATGTTTCTGTACACCCTAGGCCTTCAACAATGTGCAAAACCTATACTATTCAGTCAGCTATAAAGGGTTCTAACATAACAAAATGTAAAACAATTCAATTCAAATGAGAAAACAAAAGGCCTCATTTATGATAAACATCAAACAACATAACAGACAGCAACAACCACTGAATGACATGCTCCAGACTTAAGATAGGCATATACAGCATGAGGCAGGAATAAACATGTTTGTGTGTGCTTAACCCTCCCTTATCAGGGAAAAGTTCCTAAAACACATACAGCATGAGGCAGGAATAAACATGTTTGTGTGTGCTTAACCTTCCCTTATCAGGGAAAAGTTACTAAACCACATACAGCATGAGGCAGGAATAAACATGTTTGTGAGTGCTTAACCATCCCTTATCAGGGAAAAGTTCCTAAAACACATACAGCATGAGGCAGGAATAAACATGTTTGTGTGTGCTTAACCTTCCCTTATCATGGAAAAGTTCCTAAAACACATACAGCATGAGGCAGGAATAAACATGTTTGTGTGTGCTTAACCTTCCCTTATCATGGAAAAGTTCCTAAAACACATACAGCATGAGGCAGGAATAAACATGTTTGTGTGTGCTTAACCCTCCCTTATCATGGAAAAGTTCCTAAAACACATACAGCATGAGGCAGGAATAAACATGTTTGTGTGTGCTTAACCCTCCCTTATCAGGGAAAAGTTCCTAAAACACATACAGCATGAGGCAGGAATAAACATGTTTGTGTGTGCTTAACCCTCCCTTATCAGGGAAAAGTTCCTAAAACACATACAGCATGAGGCAGGAATAAACATGTTTGTGTGTGCTTAACCCTCCCTTATCAGGGAAAAGTTCCTAAAACACATACAGCATGAGGCAGGAATAAACATGTTTGTGTGTGCTTAACCCTCCCTTATCAGGGAAAAGTTTCTAAAACATAAGCTAGTACATGTATCCTGAAGACATCTATACATATATGAAGGAAATCAGCAAAAAAATAAGAAAATTCTAGCTACGTTAACATTTTATTTTGATAAAAAAAAAAGATTTCCAGTATTCCAACATGTACATATTGTAATTGATATCAAAAATTTGGATTTCATTCCTGAAGTTAGGTAACTGCATATTATAATCCTGGTATTTGTATATCTTGACAACCTTAGTATTTACTTATTGAGCTTGAGGTAAGGTGATCAATACTGTATAGAAGTGTTATTATGCAATCAAATATCTTCAGGAATGAAAACAACATTCTATTTATCCCTACTGTTTACACAAACTGACTTTTTCTGTGTTATCCTGAAACTGAAGTTTTTCAAAAATAATCTCTAATGTCTAAGTGTATTAGTTTCATCAATACCTTTTGATAGTTTTAAAAAGTTTCATGATTTTTTTCTTTCTGTTAAATTCTATTTTTTGACCCTATATTTTTTAAATCACAAAAATTGAACAAAAGGATTAACAAACATTTCTAGCAGACTTATTAGTATCATAATATATTATACATGCAATAGTCTCAATTGAATTTTATACATGAATAACTTTTAACAATGAGGTCACCAATCAATAATAATTTACTATTACAAAATCAAAATCTCATATAAATATATCATGAAATTGAATATTGAATTAACTTAAGAATATTTTTTTAAATAAAGCCCAGCAATTAATTTCACAATAAATTGAAAGGAAAAATAGACTCTTAAGTCATGAATAAAAAGTAAAATCACAAAAATACTGAACTCCGAGGAAAATTAAAAAAGGAAAGTCCCCAATCAAATGGCAAAATCAAAAAAACAAACACATCAAACGAATGGATAACATGCATATGAATATTTCAGTATATGTATAACTTAGGATTAATTTACATACATGTAAGATTTTTTTGGAGAAAAGTTTCCAAGTTATCTGATATCCATAATATCTTTATCCTTAGATAACAGAGACATTAATACACTATATAAACTGTCAAAGTTTGACTGGTTTTTTTTGTAGGTAATGATCACTGGTTGCACTAACTCTGAAGAATTCCTCAAATATATACATTGTATAATATATATATATACATCGTATAATATATCGTATAAAATATATATACATCGTATAATATGTCTTAAGGTATGATATTATCTCCATTTTATTGTTCCTCAAACTTTCAATAATAGTATCTGATTTAGCAGCAGCACCTGTGGTCTCGTCACTCTCATGGTAGACTGTAACATCAGCATGCTGACCTTCTTAAATGCTGGAGGTCATGGGTTCAATCCCCAGAAATATCAAACCAGTCTTGAAAATTGGTGTTTGCTGCTTCTTCACTGAGCATGCTCTGTTTATAAGTAAGAGCAAAGACTGGTCAGCTTGGAGCTAGAATATTCATATTGTGTCCCTTGGGGTAGGGTGACATTACATCCTGTGGTCTGTTACCTTGGGAGCTAGCATGTCAGCCTAGTACAAAGCAGGGTTCATATAACATTAACATGTTCTTGTCCTTGTATGTATGTTATACTTGCCACTGGACATTAAACACCATTCATGTGCTTTAGCCATGTCTTTTAGTATGGTCTTCAAAAAGATATAACAAGGCTGATATTTGACATATGTTGGCCCCCAGACATTAAAATCATACTCAGTGTGTCAGCTGGTCAAGAATAGTGGCCTTGATTCCAACAGCAGCAGAAGATGCATTCTCTTATTGCACTGTTAGACTACACATATAAAAATTTTAAAACCATATACAACAAGCAATCTGAGAGTATTACATGGCAATACATACAATGTAGTCCCCTTCAGGTTAAAAAATTCATTGTATTGGAACAAAAATGCTAACTTGATCTTTAACTTGTCATGGTGTAAACTTTATAACAAATGTCAAGTCAATATCTTCAAGCATGAAGAAAAAAAGTGTTGAAAACTGATTATTTAAGTGAATCCAAGGACCATAACTCTGCACAAAATCAAACTGGAACAAAATTCGAACTTGATCTACAACTTATCATGATAAAACAATACACCAAATATCAAATCAATATCTTCAAGCAAGAAGAAAAAAAATGTGGAAAACTGAATTGCCGGACTGACAGATGGACAGACAGACAGAGTGCAAACCTAAAGTCCCCTTCGATTTCGTCAGTAGAGGACTAATAATGCAGTGACATGTATGTCATGTATCTTGTCAATTAAAAAATAAAAGAATGTGTCTGCAATTTTCTAAGTTAAAAAAAGGCCATAACTTTAGAACGGTAAATGACTCACTGCCCAAATTCTAACTCTGTCTGTGTGTTGTGGTTTTTAGCATTGTGTATGAGTTTCATAAAATTTGGATGAGGAAAACTTAAGTAAGAATGTGGAAACGAAAAAATTTGAAATTTTCCACGTTATAAAGGGGCATAACTCTAGAATGGTCAGTGACTCACTGCCCAGATTCAAATTTTGTCTGCTAGTTTAGATTCTAAGCATTGTGAATGAGTTTCATAAAATTTCCATGAGGCTAACTTCAGTTAGAGTGTGGAATGAAAATGGGTTGGACGGACGAACGGAAAGAAGGTTAAGGGTAACACTTAATGCCCCATTACCTACGGTAGGGACATAAAAATCTTAATTCCAACAATGTCAGAACCTGTACTGTGAATTCATGAATTTTCATGGATACCAATTGTCATGGATTGAGTAACAATTGTATTTTCGTGGATTTTTCCTTTTGTTGTTTTGCCAAAGTCTGCATACAAGCCTATAGACAACTTGTACTTTGTTGAATTTAAATCTTGTGTGTACTGTTCAGAATATATTTTACCACAAAAAAATAATAAATCATGCACTATCCCTTTTGTTGCCACCTTTATGTACGATTTAACACTTTACTCACCGTGGCATCTTGTCCAGCATAATGACTGATGACTTTACTGCCACCTGGATGTCTATTGGCCCAGTTGGTGATGTTATAGACTTCACCCTGTATAACCATCCATCGATCTTCCCTCTTGTCATGCTTAGCTATTTCATCCCAAGTATAGACTGCCTTTTCTTGTTCTTGCTTGCCGCCTTTCCCCATCTCTAACCTGATTTGTATTTTATCTGTTTCTGTCAAAGATATAACTGAAATAATAGAAAATAAATCTATATTGTATCGAAAACTAATAAGGTTTCTATTACATAGTAATAACAAGTGAAACTGTGAGCTACTGCTCACTGATGATACCCCCACCGCAAATGGATAATTTTAATAGTGTAAAAATATGCCAGTGTTTGGTAAACAGGAAGTTGTTGAGTGATGAATCTGAAAATGCATCACACAGTATAGCTGACTTATACAATGTTATATAAACCCTGAAACCAAATTTCAGAAATCCTTATACTGTAGTTCATGAGAAAGATGCGATGAAAAATATTCATGGGACGGATGGACAGAGGGATAGACAGAGGTCAAACAGTATACCCCCACTTTTTTAAAGTGGGGTTTAATTAGTGTAAATTAAGACACTTTTTATGATATGATACCTTTAACTCATCATTACTATCATTACTATAGGGACTTCATATTGATTGCAAAAGAACTTCTTTGTGTTTTATTTAAACATAACTATATTGCAGTTTAACATTTGACAATAAGAATAAAACCAAGACAACTGATATAAACTTTTTGTAGTTTAATTGACTGCTCCAGAGACAACCCAAGCCAAAGGGCATAAACTACATATTTTTCAGTAGATAAAATATACTGTTAAGTATCATTTTGGGTCAAATTGACAAAACTGCTGATTTTTATTTTATATGCACCACTGAACCATAAAAAGTTGAAATTATATCCCACAAATATTCATTGATGTACTGTAAATTCAGAAACTTATGTAAGGTTTTTATTAATGTGAATAATGACACTCCTTGAGTATCACAATAATAAAAACTCACATTCTGATATATGATACATATAAGATAAGATATTTTTTTTTTTTTTTTTTTTATTTTCAATTATATATTATCATATATATGATGAACCTTTTCCTAAAATAGCAATAATTATACTCACATTTTTTGTTAATTCTTCAAAAATCACATTATAAATGCACACAATAATTTCTGAATTTATAGTACTGTATGAATCTACTCTGATTGGTCAATTTTATTAATATGCCTTCATTCATGTCAGTTTGAAAATGAAAATACTAAAAATAGGTTCATTTGTCAATATTGCGAGAGTTCTTTGACATTATTATTTATTGGTAAATAAAAAGAAATAAGTGAGACTCAATTTTTGACTGTTTTCAACTTTTATTTTTACTTGCCAATAGGACAAGTACACTGCTGCGTTTACCTGCCCAAGAATGATTTCCTCTTATCCCGGGCATTCCAACTATTAATGTTGAGCACTTGAAGGCAATAAATTATTTTAGCAGATGTACATAGCTTGATAAGCTGCTGTTTCAAAATTCTTTGGAATGACATGTAAACAGTAATACAAAGTATATAACTATGATAACCATTTTTGCACAATATCGTATATTTTTCAACAAAAATAATTTTCCAAGAGATATAGCAAAATTAAAACTTAATTTGTTTACTACTGCCTGACAGAACTCACTAATAGCATTGGCGTGTTATATAACTACACTTTTAAGAAGTTTAATGGCATTTTTTAAAAGTAAAAAAGGAATAAAACATACTTTTACTGGTCAGTTTCCAACAGAACTATTTCAAACTGTTCTTTCCTAGATTTAGCTATTTCAATTTTACATTGGAAACTACACAAAAATTTACGACAAAAGGGATGATTTTTTATTTCCTATTGTTAATTTTCCTTTTTGGGATTGTGATGTTCCTTTGGCCTGTGTCTTTTGTGATGTTTAGGCTTTCAATGAACGTCATCTCTGTATAATTGGTAAATTATTAAGTCAAAGATTTTGTTACCACACATTACTTAAAACCTTTGCTTTATTCTTCCATAGATACAAAGATTTGGTTTGGAAATTTGGCTGTACCTGTAAAAAACTTATTTCAAACAGGATAGCACATCCTAATTTTTATGGAGATGTTATTTACCTAGCCTGGAAATTTAGATACAATTGGGGGAATTTTTTCTAACCTTTACATATTGTTCTTATTGGTATATATGTTGATTTTGTTATCAGTAAATTAAAATCAAAGCAAATGATATTTGTTATATACATCCATTGTATGCATATGCATGGCTCTACAATCTGTTGATACCTGTATCTTGGCATTGCACAAGGTTATGATTTTCTCTGACTATTAATGACGTCTTTACACTAAATCCATTGGATGTTGGATGTGTACTGATTGATGTTTAAGTCTTAGATGCATGATTTTTTTATTAGTTGCTATTGGCTTTGAACTAGCTGTCAGTAACTGCGAGTACACTCAGATCTGTACTTAGTGTCCTTTTTTAAGGGATGTATAAATGCCCTGCCACTGTCCCAGGTTAGGTGAGGGTTTGTCGCCAACAAACTAGTTTAACCCAGCCACATTCTGTATGTGCCTGTCCAAAGTCTGGAGCCTGTTTTACATTTGTCATTTTAGACCTTTTATAGCTGACTATGCAGCGTTATGGGTTTTGTTCATTGTTGTAGGCCGTACAGGTGACCGATACTTGTAAACCTCTATGTCATTTGGTCTCTGGTGGAGAGTGGTCTCATTGGCAATCGTACCACATCGGCTTATTTTCATAAGTTATCTTATAGTCATTTTTAGCAAAAATGTCTAGGATGACGAAGATCTGGTTTAGATGACAAGATGAACAATATAATAAATGCAGGTAGTTTCTTACATTTACAGTGTGCAGCAAATTTCTATCGCGTAACATTTAGTGAACCTATCATCTCGTTACATTTAGTAAACTCATCATCTTGCAACATTAAGTGAACCCATCATCTCGTAACATTAAGTGAACCCATCACAAACTTGAAGATTAAATGTACTATTAGATATTGATTGATATTTTTTATCTACATATGTACACATATATCATGTATATAATCTCTGTGATCATGTCATTATAACCTTCCGTATGTAAAGTTAGTCATTTATCAGGATCAAGTGAAAACCCAATCACAATGAGAATTATTTCAAAATAATGCAGAATTCTCAAAATTATCAACTTAAACCTTGGACATTAAACATGTAATATAGATATATCGATATAAAAGTTGTATTAGGTCCCAGACTTATCCAACTTATTTTCCTTCCTAAACATGCCTCAAGCATGTCGTTAATATTCCTGAAAATAAACACTATCATGAAACTAACTTTAATAGACAACTTTCAAATTTGTGCATTTTCCCGTAAATTTCATTTGTCACAATGCTTTTGTTACTACATGTACATGCATGTACCTCATAGTAAGGAGCCATTGTTTAATGACGTTATTTATGCCGCTGGTCAACCAGTGTTACTCATTCATATACACATGTAAATCAAATCGAGATCATACCTGTCAACCTCTGAAAATGAAACTGCAGCTTCATGTTGAAGAAGAAAATCTCAGGTCATAACACGTAACTTTTTTCAGCTGAATTTCAGTATGTAGGGAACATTTTTATATTTTAAATGGAACAGAGTCAAAAACTTGTTTACATGGTTAAGTATTTACCTGAAACTTATAATTTAATTTTAAAACTTTAAAACTTTAATTAAATTTTTTCATTGCATTTATTATTAATTCATTATCGCATAATAATTCAAGCCATATACCCCTGTTTTTGTTTCATTCATACTTCTTTAAAACAACTTATAACTTAAGTTAAATGGTTTCATGTTTTGTTACAGCTAGGTAAGATCATATGATGATGATGGAAGTGTATAACGACCTTGACTGGCTTTACAGCCCTCTCACGGTCAGCTTGGTGCCCGAAAGTGTTTGGTGAGCGTTTAAATATTTGATGAAAAGTTGGAAAGGACGGCCGCCATTTTGGTTTTGGTAAGATCTTTTTGGTTTGTTGACTATTTTGTTGTTGTTGACTGCCTTCACAACGGCTGCTTTCAGGGCCAGGTTGGTCAGCTTGGCAGCCCACTAACCACGATGATGAAGTACTGGTCGATGAGTCTCGGGCAAAGTAATAACGATGACAGGAAGTTTTATCAGGACCAAAGTCGTTGTACAGTGAAATGGCAGTCCATTATCCAACACCTACGATACAGACCCTAGGACGTCAGTCGGCATAATATGTCCCCCATAATGGGTATTATGGACCATATGCTAACGCGGGTATTTATGGAAACTTGAAGTTTATACAACATACTGTACAGCGTTGGATTGGTTTCTGTCATCAAGAGTAGTTTGTCGCTGATCCATCTATCAGTAAACCAACATCGTAGATAGCACATAAAGTGGAGCTGACCCAGCAAGTCCTTTCAGTTGTAATGAGACGACTCGTAAGGATGAAAATGATTTGATGGACGTGAATGGTAATAACATATGCAGTTCATATTAGATAACATAATTTAAAATTTAAGCACTTAAAGAGGTAGAGATAAAAAAAAATTATTTTCCATTGTCCTAAGAAAGTAAAAATCATTTAAGTAATATACTTATATATCTTTGCATTTAATTTGCCTAAGATCAAATATTTTTATAAAAAAAAAAACATCAATTAAAGGAGTATACTGTCAGTCAGGGGTACTACTTGTACAAGTAATCTTTATTTACTTGAAGAAGTAAATAAAATATACTTCTATAAGTTAATTATAATGTTTGAATAATCTCCCCTTAATTTTCTCAAAAATTTACTTGTATAAGTAATTTTTTTTTACAATCCCACAAAAATTCTCAAGTTTTGAGATGCAAAAACATGCCTTTAACAATTTTTCTCAGGTTAGCTCATAATTTTTTATTAGAGTTCAATGTTTCATCTCATTAATTCAAAAAAGAAACTGATTGCGCAAAGATCTTAAGTATTTGGCGCAAGGCCTTCAAAAATTGCCCCTTGGGGGCTTGTAAATGAGCAATGTTCTGAAGATAACAGACAAATGAGATTTTCATTGTTCATGAAATTACACTTAAATGATAAGTACAGACATCTGCAAAGGACAGACAATTAAAAATTCTATTAGAGCAAAGAAGTCCTAAGAATTCAAGAAAAGAAGATAGGATGACTTTTTTACTTGTATAAGTAAAAAAATCTGAATGTCTAAGGGACATAACTAAGCCCAATTTTTTTTTCCCAATACAAGTAAATAAAATACACTTGTATAAGTATCCTACAAATTTACTTATATAAGTACATGTATATTAATTTTTACTTCTTCAAGTAAATAAAAATTACTTGTACAAGTAGTACCCCTGACTGACTGTGAAAGGTGGCAAAAAAGGGGGGGTAACTCAAATTTTTTGTCAAACACCTTTGAAATACACAAATTATTTATGAACTTAGGCTAACATGGCTAAAGTCATTGGTGTTTATTAATAGTGTGTAAGATACCAAAGCTGTCAATTGAAGCCATGCACTTAATTAGACACTTAACATAGCTAGTTGAACTTCCTCAAATCCTGTCCAGAATGAATTACGAATTTTCCAATATATTAGAGGAAAATCACTTATAAATCATTTCATACTCAAAAAGTCACAAGGCACAAGGATACAAGTGAAAACGGGTCAAATGCTGAATTCCCGGGTTCTTTAACAACCTGGCGGGTGTTTAAATAATCTCAGGTGAGAGGTGAAATTTATGGGTATCACCTGCAGAATAGGGGTCAGTTGACAGATTTGTGTATTGAACGTGTACTTACAAACTGAAGTCAAATCACTTTGGCATCTTTCAATGAACTTAATGCTGTTATTTATGTTCTAACTTCTAGTGGTCATTATTTTATTTTATAAGCAAGACTTAAACCCTTTCCAATTTTGGCAAAAGCTCCATATTAGCCTCCTGTCTGTTTACCATAGTTTCCATTTAACCCTTGGAAAAATTAGTTATTGGATCTTGCCATATCTGTCAATCAATTTCTCTGTCACATACATAACAGATATACTTGATATATCTATATCTATAATAAATAACAAAATCAACGACTAAAATTGCTCAACAAACGAAAGAACTTTAGTTGGCTTCGCTGAATCTACATAATCATAATCACAGCGAGTTGCACCCTTTGACAGCAACAGAGCAAAGTATGGAATTTTCACCACATTTAATTCTCAAAATAACTTTCATCAACGAGTTTTGTCTTAACTTACCTGTTATATAAAGAAAATGTTATAATGAATTATTAAATTTCAACCTAAATTATCTCTGTTTTGACCAAATCAGGTTATACAATTTGGTTTTCCACGCACGGTCTATTTTATAACCAGCCGGTCGGCAACCGGAAGAAAGGAAATGAAGGTGAAGGTCTACCTAATAAACTAAACACAGTAAAATATTGTGTCACCAAGGACGTGTGCTTTTTAATATTGTATAAGAAAATGGCTTACTTTAATATCATTCTCTTATTGAGGTCGGACAACTTAGCAAAAGCTATTGTATTATTTCTAAAGTCTCCAATTAAACTTAAATTCTTTTACCCGTATCTTTTTAATTATGCAAGGATTTCTCTGAAGGTTTAAGGGTGGGGGGGGGGGGGGGGGGGGGGGGGGGGGGGGGGGGGGGGGAGGGGGGGGGGGGGGGGGGGGGGGGAAGGAGGTTTGTTTTGGATGGGTTATTGTGGACCAAAAGGACAGATTATTTATTTCCTGCACTGTTGAAGCATGAAAGCATGATTTTTTCATTTTCATTAAAACAAGGGACTGATTATCTATTTTTCACAATTATATTTATAATTTATTTGAAAACATACAATTTTTAAATTATTTTTTTTTATTCTTAAATAAATAACATAGTCAATTAAGTCAACCAGAACTAATCATCATCCTCTGGAAGTTAATCTTCTGAATTGCAAACTGCATATATTGCATACGTACAAGGTATTAAAGCTGTAGCAAGCCTCTTTTAAAAGTGTCAAACATTTTCGAAAAAAAAAAATCGGCGAAGAGTCTGGGATTCGCTGAAGGCCCAAAGAAGCTATAGAAAAAAATGGCGCAAAATCGTGCATTATGCGCGTTTCCCCAGACGAATTTTGGAAGAATCTGGTGCCATCTCATACTTCAGAATAGCATTTATAAAATGGCTTTAAAAGATCTGCCAAGTTGTTTTCAATACATTGTAAGTCAAGTTATTTATTTTCAAACTACCACAGAACAAACCATTCATTTTTCTTATTATCAAGGCTGAGTTATTTATTTTCAAAATACTCCCCCCCCCCCCCCCCCCCCAGAATATCAAATGGTCGTCCCTTAATAGAAACCATAGTAAACATAGGAGTAGGAGCCTATAGCTACGTACATACTACCGTATCTGGACGAGGAAGACTGAATCACTGACTAGGTTCATCGGAAACTAGTTTCTTTTGATAACATAAAACCATTGATGTACAAAGATAGAGTATCCCGTTGTATAAAAATACGTCCCAGTTTCTCTGCTTTACAGTATAACTCCCCCACAAACGAAACGGGTCGCCCGTTGGCGAACAGCCACGTCCGATCGAAACTGAGACGTAAATCTGATGCCTCGTGTTAGGAAAGTACCACGCTCTCTGCAATTGGATCTATTTCTATTTGTTAACTAAATATTAAATTATGAAATAGTTGCCACTGGACGTAAAAAATATAACAGGCAGGTCATTGTTAATCAAAACCAAAATTATGAAATTAGTAGTTCTATAACAAATATAATTTGGATTCATTTTACAGCGATGAGCGACCGAATAACTGGACTGAACTTATGATTTTATGAGTGAGGAATATTCACCTTTTCGAAAATGGTTTGATTTATAATACTAACACTCTTTATTTCAAAGATATGGACTATTTCTTCCTTCGGGACATTCTTATTCATTTGTGTCACTGCGCATAATTTAGAAAATAGAGAGAGAGAGACTGATATCTGGTCTTCGAGTGGAGAGTAAACCCATAAATTATGCAACATTGAAGCAGAGGAAATTCATTTTTCTTCAGTATCCTGTTTTCGAAACAAAAGATCAGATTTCATTAATGTTAATGATAAAGAGGCGTATTTAAAGAGGGGAGTCTGGGGCTCGCACCCTTATGGAGCTACATACATGGTAAATGCATTGCCTTTTCACAAGCCCACTCCTTACGTGGGCCTCTGGATCCGTAACTGGGATATATAGTCACCAGAAACTTCGGACACCTCCGAAATAAATCAAAACTAGCACGGCTCACACTGCACAGCAAGCTATAAAGGGCCCCAAAAATTACTAGTGTAAAACCATTCAAACGGGAAAACCAACGGTCTAATCTATATAAAAAACGAGAAATGAGAAACACTTATGAACCACATCAACAAACGACAACTACTGAACATCAGATTCCTGACTTAGGACAGGTGCAAACAATTGCAGCGGGTTTAAACGTTTTAATGGTACCAAACTTATTTTTCAAGCTAATCAATATAAACAATATGTATAACAAGTTGCTTTCTTTAAAAAAAGGAATGCAATCGTGAACCTAAATGCCTGTTTGGTATATAAGATAATTGTTATATGAAGATGCATGGTTCACCTCTTTTCTTATATAAGATGTAGAAAAACTGACATGGATTCTTAATGATACTGCTGTTCAATGTTGGACATAATTTTCTTGTTAAAGAAATCATTTCTCTCTCTTCCGATAGATAACATTACAACATAGTAAATAGGAGGCAGCCACTGTATGTTCCATTCTGATGTGCTGTTTTGGAAATTAGAGGTAGCTTCCTGGCTAAAGTCTACATGTAAATGTGAAAACAGTCTTTGTTTTGAAGAAGTTTAATAAAATGAATCGTGATTATTTGTTTTTTTTTTGTAGTCAGTTGAAAATAGTTCAAAAGCCTAAGCTATATTCTTATTCGTTGATTAATCTCGAACTAAAACCGTGTTGGAAAATCAATTACACTGGTTTAAATGATTTTGTTCATTGGCGACCATATTCAAAATATGGTTGATCTCAATTTATTCATACTCAAGGCAGCAAACTCCAACAAGCTTTTAGAGTAGAAATAGTTTGAAACCTCAACTTTATACTTAAATCAGTTTGTTCAAACAAATCTCACTTTTTCATTTCATAACTCGTCCTTAGCCAAAATACAATGCAGTGGTTTATTTGTTGTTTTTATACGGTTGTGCGAAAGACAAAGGGAAGCAGAAATAGCAGTGCCCGAATACAGTATAGCTCATGTCCAGTATGCAATTAAAAAATCCTGTTTTTTTGCAATCGCATGTCCGTTGAATACTGATATTGATTTTGAGAAAGATAATTTATTACTAAGTTGTGCTATTTTTTGCTTATAAATACAAACGTTTTTGTATCGACTAATTTGTCTAGATATCGCTCTAGGCCTCTGATAACTAGACCCTCTAAATTCGCTTGCAGATTACCTCAACTCCTTGAAAACAAATTGACGGAATTCCCAGAAACTTGCACTGATTTTTCTTTAATTGGGACAAGAAGTTTTGCACATGCTACTTCAACTTTTAGTCTGATCTTGTGTGTGTGTAAAAAGGCCCCGAAATGACAAATTCAAAACAATTCATACGAGATAACTAACTGCCTGATGTCATCATGTTGCTTTTTATCATTGCTTTTGTTTCCTTATTTATATTTTGATAAACATGTAGAGCCTTAATTACTTAAATAGAAATTCATTATCTCTGACCATGTATTAAACTGGTCCGCCATTCCACCTAAATCTCCACTCCGAAGGTTAGTGTAGCAATAACTGAACACAACAGGTGTCAGTTTAACCCTATATTAGCATTTCACTACTGCTATTGTATATGCGTAATGAAATCCTGATGCATTGCGCAGAGGCGGATATAGGGGGGGGGGGGGGGGGGGGCAGGGGGCCCGGCCCCCTTTTGTGGGAAAAATTTGGTTGATTATATAGGGAATCACTGAAGCATGACTGGAGCGGGCCCCCTCTTAGGCAGTCAGTGGGTACCCTCTTATGAAGATTTCTGGATCCGCCACTGTTGCGCAATCGGGTGGTTTACTATTTCCTGTACAGATAATGTCCTGTAAATATCTCTTTTAACTTTGCATTCCGTGCAATTCTTTTAATTCACTGATACGGACTAAATAATAAGATATTTGAAGATTTTAACTGACCTATTTTGTCCGAAGGAACAAAATTTGCAGTCCCCGCATGCCCCATATGTGGCATTGGACATGGTGTTTGTGTGAAAATAAACGATGAGTATGCTTAACAGTTGCATGGATGTTCAAGAAACGCGAGAAATTTTTATGAAATTGCAGAATCTAAGGTTCCAACACCCTGGCAAAGTTGACCTTAAGTGGTTTTGGTTATTTTCCTATGTCCTTTTTCGGTCTTATAGCTTTCCAAGCATTATACATCCCTGGTTTTCAAATGTTTAGTTTTGAGCGCTCCTGATGAAAGTTAACACAGAAAAGCTCTTCGTATGCAAAACATTTAAATTCATGAAGAAACCTACTGGTGTGGGTTAAACCAATCTAAATAAGATTACACTCTTTCTCACATGTCGTTTTATGTGCGACATATCAGAAATGGGAGCGATTAAAGTAATTTGATTTCACCTGAGTTCACCCCGGTTTTTTTTATGGGGTTCGTGTTGCTCAATCTTTAGTTTTCTATGAAGTCCTTTGTGTCTTTTGTGGATTTACTTATATGGGAATACCTATTTTTAAAATAATTTAATGAGTATTTCTTTTCTCTTTTCTATTTTATATTTATTTCAGCCAAGATATGCTAAGTATATGCAATGGTTATACGATAGATTAGAAGATTATTTTATAATTAAAAGAAGACTGTGTCTGAGGACACGAATGCCCCCGCTCAAGCTTCAAACAAACAAAAATGGAACGGATGGATGGAAAGACGGAAAGATGGAAGGACGGAAATACGGAAGGACGGACGGTCAAGGGTAACATAATGTATCCGTCGCCTATACGTCGGGGACATACAAATGGCTCTATTCTGGATACTAAAACAAACAATCATACTCCAAACAAGTTTTGTTTAGTCAAGGATTGTATCCATATATATATATTTATAATATAATCCTTGGTTTATTTGACCGAGAGTAATTAACTTTCTATATACTTTCGGTAACCTTGTTGGTTTCTCCATAAGTAGTAAGATACCGTCTTGCAGCAGCTTTCTTGGTAAACTGATTGGATGTCATATTGAACGGTTTTGGTCCATAATTTGTTGCAGTAGCAGTATTTTGAGATTCAGAAATTTTCGGTTTTTGAAATCTTGAAATAGGAGATTTAGAATTCATTGAACTAGTGTTAGAATAACTG